ATATATATATATATATATATATATATATATATATATATATATATATATATAGAAAATTGGGTAGTGTTGAAATGTCAATCAAAAACATTTTCACACATATCAAGGAAGGAATTTTATTTTACAGGGTACCTGAAGATTTAAAAAAAAGAAATCAGTGTAATTGTTTTTATGACCCTTTTTAAGACTTGCACAAATAAAATGAAATGAAAACACCGTATGAGTGGGGTTGGGCAATGTCTATGGTAACATGCATAAAATGACATGATTTACAGTTCAGATACAGGTTTTCACAAAAATAAAGGTCTTGTAAAATGATAGACATCACATTTCAGCCTTTAAACCATTAAGAAAAGGGATGAGTCAAACATATACATTGTCATATTAATTTAAAACATATAAACATATATCTTAATGTCTTAATTGTTTAGATTTTTAGAAGGCACATTAGCTTCTTTCACATTTACAACTCTATGTGTTTGGTGCTTTAAAAAAATGAGTCGATATTTGCATTGGTCTGAACATAAATGGCAGACGGGCTTACTGAAAATGCAAATCACTGATCTGTAAATTGATCAGTGATGCACATTCATTCTCTGCCAGCAGGTGGCGCTTTTGGAATGACAGAAATATAGTGGTTTCCCAATAATGACTGCACACAAAGCAGTGCTGTGCTCATAAATGCTGCTTTATCAGGCATTATAGGAAATAATAAATAAATGCCATCGAAACTCCCCTTCAGAGATGCATTCATATAAAAACACCCACGCTGCATTTTCACTTTTAGACCGCATTCTACTCAATGAAATCAGAGCCTTTTGAAGTTTAATCATCACATTAAGCTGTATTGCAATTCTTGTCTGTCAGTCCCCAAATGTAAGACCTGTTGAAATGTTGAAATTATAATTCAGAAATTTCTTATACGTATATTTTCTATATATTTTCTCATATTTAAGGTATCTAAGACTTTTATGGCCTTAAATTTAATTCCACTAAATTTAAGACATTTTAAGGACCCGTGGGAACCCTGTATTTAAGATATAGGGTGGTGATACATTTTGGTAGCCCGACTGGAAGAAACAATAGCCCTGGACATCGGGCTTGTGATTTTGCGAGCCCTGCGAATATAGCTGTGGTAGCTGTTTCAAGTTGACTTGAGATGTCCCAAAAAGTTGTGAAAACGGCATATTAAGATCCTTATCACTGTCCTCAAAACATAGAATCAGTAATGGCATTCATTTATACAGCCTATATATATATACAGTATATATATATATATAAAACAGTACTCAAAAACAACACCTTAATATTTATCTCTTAATGGAATCTACTAGCTGTAAAAGCTGCTGTTTAATTTGTATTAATTTTACATCAAGCTATTAAACATGGTCTGCTCTTTCATAATGCATAGTTTGTTGGGCAGCTGAATTCAATTTTAAACTTTAATTGAAATCACTCAGCAATCTCATGTAATTCTGCGCTCAACTACTGAACGTGCGACTAAACTGTCTCCATTTCAGACTCAATTAACACTGTTTTACATGTGCCACATTAAATTATATAACACTTCAGAGACATTCACACAAAAAGCTCTGACTCTTGTTAGGGTGTTGTGTCATGTTTTTTATTGTCTTATGGCATTGTAATTGCTCTTTCACTCACTGCTTACACTCTCTTTCTCTCTCTAGCACGGCCATGATAAGATAAGAGGTGTAATGGGAATGTAATGTAAATTTGAGTCTTGATGTTGCTGTCCCAGCACAAAATAGCAGAATATGCGGGTGAGATAGTTAATTCTCTGCATGCATGTCTCTATTGGTTACCCTTCAGGGCAAGGAGCCACTCTCATCGCAGACACCGGCGCCGGAAAGCAGAAATTAGGAGTTATTCCTGCATGGCAAACAGGTACAGTGGTGACCTTATGACTGAATAATTGGGAGGAGGCCAAATTTAAATGAACTCCATGGCTGAGTCTAAAACCGAAGGCATCTGCTATGTTGTCCAGTCTATCAGTGGCATTATAACATCACATTTAATGATCTAAAACTAATTCAAGTCAGAATAGAATAGAATAGTATAGAATAGAATAGAATAGAATAGAATAGAATAGAATAGAATAGAGAGTCTAAACCCGAAGGCAGCTGCTATGTTGTCCAGTCTATCAGTGGCATTATAGCATCACATTTAATGATCTAAAACTAATTCAAGTCAGAATAGAATAGAATAGAATAGAATAGAGCAGAATAGAATAGAGAGTCTAAAACCGAAGTTAGTAGCTATGTTTTCCAGTCTATCAGTGGCATTGTAACATCAAATTTAATGATCTAAGTCAAATTCAAGTAAGAATAGAATAGAATAGAATAGAATAGAATAGAATAGAATAGAATAGGATAGAATAGAGAGTCTAAAACCGAAGGCAGCTGCTATGTTGTCCAGTCTATCAGTGGCATTGTAACATCACATTTAATGATCTAAAACAAATTCAAGTCAGAATAGAATAGAATAGAATAGAGCAGAATAGAATAGAGAGTCTAAAACCGAAGTTAGTAGCTATGTTTTCCAGTCTATCAGTGGCATTATAACATCAAATTTAATGATCTAAGTCAAATTCATGTAAGAATAGAATAGAATAGAATAGAAGTTTGTAAGCGCACTCATTCACCTGCACATTCCCACATTCATACGGATTAGAGCATTCGTATTCAAAGCTCAAATTTAATGATCTAAGTCAAATTCAAGTAAGAATAGAATAGAATAGAATAGAATAGAATAGAATAGAATAGAATAGGATAGAATAGAGAGTCTAAAACCGAAGGCAGCTGCTATGTTGTCCAGTCTATCAGTGGCATTGTAACATCACATTTAATGATCTAAAACAAATTCAAGTCAGAATAGAATGGAATAGAATAGAACAGAGCAGAATAGAATAGAGAGTCTAAAACCGAAGTTAGCTGCTATGTTATCCAGTCTATCAGTGGCATTATAACATCACATTTAATGATCTAAAACAAATTCAAGTCAGAATAGAATAGAATAGAGCAGAATAGAATAGAGAGTCTAAAACCGAAGTTAGTAGCTATGTTTTCCAGGCTATCAGTGGCATTATAACATCAAATTTAATGATCTAAGTCAAATTCATGTAAGAATAGAATAGAATAGAATAGAAGTTTGTAAGCGCACTCATTCACCTGCACATTCCCACATTCATACGGATTAGAGCATTCGTATTCAAAGAATTTTAAATGACCGTTCCAAACATTTTAAAACATTTTCTTCTTTTTTTTTTTGGGAGAATGTTGAGCGGCCAGAGATATTTATGGCTTCATGCTGGCCAGTCAGGTTTTTATCTTATCAGTGAGCGTCCGGTGGCACTGTGGCGATGACTGATAAAGGTAGAGGTGACACAGAGGAAACTCTTTTATCTGCCTCTCACAGCTGATGTCCAACATTTGGCGTGTAGATCAATGGAAACGGGAAAGGGAATGAAATTTGAGATCTCGCCCCCGTGGACGGTTGCGCCTCTTTGGAGTGGGTTGTGGGGTGATGGGGTTGAGGTACTGTAGAGATGGAGCACTACAGGGAATAGTGTTGAAATAAAGTTTCAGGTTTAAATCTGTTTCCTTTGATAGTAGGTGTCAGTGAAGATTGCCTGTAAAGCATATAAATGCCAAATCCTGCTGATTGCCCATGTACAGAGATTATGACAAATGCTCAAACAAGTTAGGACGTTGAAGTACACGCTTCATTATTGCACAAATCAGGGTAGTTTATGAGATGTAAAATAAGACCATTTTGTACTGGGTCAAAGGCGTATTTTAAAAAATACATTTTGAATTAGATGAACACATCAGAGTAATCACAGACACAGTTTATCATGCATTAAATTGGCCTCAAATGCTCTCCCAGGTGACACCGAACTGATTACTTCATCAGTCCTTCATACAAAAGCCACTCTCATTCATTCATCACAGAATTTCTACCATTTTCAAGACCGGAGAAAAACGCGCTCAGGTTTCAAATTGAAATAATCTTAAACTGGAGATGATTGCTTTTAAATCCCTAACTGATCTCTCCATTATTTGGAATTTCTCAGGGATATTCAAAGGACGAAATCATTATAGAAAGCAAGCACAGTGAAGCTTTACATGGTTTCAGGAGTTTAAAAGGCACAGAGAGCCCACTCACGCCACACAACAGGAACAATGGCCATCAGTTCCCATTCTGGTGAATCCTCATTCACTTCACAAAGACCTATTACAGATAATCTATGTCCTGAGCTGGTATAATTGGCACGTCCTTTCATAGGAAACCGTTTTATTCCACCTTAAGCGCGTGCAGATCAGAGGAACTAGCCGATCATTTTCCATATGTTAACCTGTGGAGGATTCACCTTTACACCTCACTGCCCAGATAATGTAGAAAGGGAAAACTGACGAATGACTGTTATACCTTCGCTGTCCCACATTATGATTTTATTGTTACTGTTGTAAAGGTGCTGTGAGCATTATCTTGATAAGCTGAAATGGTTCTACTTACAGTATTATGTATATTTAATGTGAATATGAATATTTTAATTCCTCCTCGAGGTGAAGGGGCCGTTAACTATGATTTCAATTGCTTTGTGTATGTAGATATGAAGATTGTGAAAAATCTGGTTTGCAAGACGGTGGCCATTCATCAGCTGTCCATGGAGGCAACGCATGCAGGTCGGCAATCAAGCTGACCAGTAAAATCTCCTCTAAGTGCTGCTGCCACTTTTCTGAAAGCACCGTAAGTGTTTCTGATGGCTACCTGATGCGCTTACAATGCCAGTTTACGGCCCTCGTGAAACCATTGATTCTTTTTGCTTAATAGGTGTCAAGACGACAAAAGATGTACACGTATCTGTTAAACTAATGGATTTTGAAGTCAGCAAGTGCACATTGTTCCTCCATGGAAAAATATTTATTGTGATTTATGTGACGTTTTGCATGTTTTTTAGTTCTTTTACAATAACTGGGTAGGATTTGGATTGAAGCTAGCCATAGTTAAGCATAAAGGCATAGCATTTTTAATTCTCACATGCAGATGAAGTTTTTCTACAGTCCTTTTTTAATGGGAACAATAATCACCATTGACCAACATGAGATTTGCATATTGCACACATGCTTGACACACAATTTAAACTTAAGTTAATTAACTTTTTAATGAGAGTGCTTTTCGAGTGTTTTCCGCTCTCAGTAATTACACTTTTTAAAAGCGACATGCAACCTACTGCCACACTCCAACTAACTGCATCCACTCCAAGCAGAAATATCAAACATCATTCAATAAATAAAAGTTCACCATCACTAAAGAACATAGTCCAGGGGAGTGGTCATATAATGTCCTAATTTAATGTTAATAATTAACATAAACCTATATACTGCATCATGGATTTTCTAACATTATTTTCAGTAAGCTTTTAAATAAACTTTTGTATCATGGCTTCGAAGCCTTTTGTGATGGTTTGTGTGCGCAGAAGATAAATCACTTTTCCTGACATAATCATTATAGTTACACTAATTGCATTGTCTAATCTTTTAAACACTGATAATATTTTTGTCTTGTGCTATCATATTTAAAGATCGTCCAGCATGTGAAGAAAATATTTCTTCCATTGTTTTTTGAAAGTGCTTAAACTAAAGATGTTGACATAAATGTCTTTGAAAAGCCTCTCTTTTGAAGAAAAATTAGTTTTCGTATTTTTTAGATACATTTTATCGCACGGTTGGTTAGCAGTGGCCTTTTTCTGTTTAAGTAAAGCATGCTTTGCTCTGGTGCGGTTTGTTTCATATACTGAAGCTTGCAAAAAGCTGATGATCTATACATAACCTGCACATAATTGTTTCAGTCTCACTTCACAGCTCGATCATTACAAACAACCACCAGGCTCTGTCAGAGTTCTACCACAAACCAGAGTTTGATTGCTTTTTGCACCACTGTAGCAAACTAGAACTTTATTGAAGTTTAGCAGCTTCTTTCCATTTTCCACGAAGGATGCAGAGTCTGTTTGAATTTGTTCCATCAGTCCCACAACAGAAAATGAGAACTCATTTAAGACCTACAGGTGCACAACAAAGGTAAAGAAAAAGGCTCATGCCGGTATGTGGCAGAGCGGAGTTGGATTTAAAGAAGAGAGGGTTATTGTCTTTTTCTTGCACTTTACCACTCTAATGATGCACTTATGTCACCCGCTCTTCCCTTTTTCTTACACCTTACCTACTTAAGGAGGAAGTCTTGATTGGTAAGTCGATGCTATCCGCAGATTAAGGGACTTATTGTAGGCCGCTGGTGGACTGTAAAATCTCTTCCGACAGAGGACTAAAGCAGAAACATGTTCTTTTTGTTTTTCTCAAGGATTTTACCTAGTTAGAGTGATGGAGATATTTCTTTTGTCTGCAACCCTTTTCATATAATTATATATTTTTTTTACTTAAGCCCATTCTGTGATGTCTGTTCAATGTTCTTTAAAGGAAAAGTGCTTTCAAATTGGGGATTTCTGTTTCCTTTTACTCTCTCTTTCTTCTAACATTAAAGTAGCTGGAAGTTTATTCTTGTAGGTTCTTTTCTCTCTTTTCTGATCTGTCTCTTTCATTAGCATTGGTTCATTGTTTATTTTCTCTCTTCAGTCTCTATTTCATTAGTTTCTTTTGTAAGAGTTCTTGCTTTGTTCTTCTCCTTTCTTTTCAAATTTCTCGCATGTGACAGATATGCATGGCGTTTTTAATCTTTTAGTTTCTGTCCCAAAAAAAACTTGATTAATTTCCTCTCTGTGCTCTGTATGGACATACAGTATGTGCCTTTTAAAGAGTACTCAAACTGTATCATGCAGGTAGCAGATTATTGATGCGGCCTTGATTTTCTTTAGAAAAATAACAACAACTTTGCTTTGTCTGCTCGCAGATCTCGCAATCACGTCCTGGGGTTGAGGGTTTAAACAAAATGGTGATCGTCCAGGACTCGATATCCAATAAGGGCAAAGGACATGCAGATTACGATTCGGGAAATGACACGTCATCTCCACTGTCAAGTAAAACGGGCATCACAAAGTCAAAGGTGTCTGGAAACGGAAAGATCTCATGCCAGGATCTGACATCTCCTGAGAAGCTTAGGCTAGTCGACGGAGACAATGCCTCAGATTCAGGCAACTCTCTAACCAGCTATGACTCTCTGGGTAAACCAGTGCTCAAAGAAAACACCCTTCACAGCTCTGCCTTCAACAAGTTCAAAGGGTGAGGCTGTTTTGAATGCATTTTACACCAACTTTACATCGGTCTGAACTCATTCTATTACAGTTACAGTAAGAGTAAGTAAACAGAATATATGCTATACATCAGATCTATCACTGTCTAAAATACTATTAAACCTTGACATAAACATTAACGATACACTGTAAAAAATGGCCGTGAATTTAACGGTAAAAGACTGTAAAAATGCTATAGTAAAAACCTGTTAAATGGTTAACGGTAAATTCCCCTACTATATACGGTGAAAACTGTATTGGACATTACATGTAATTTTACAGTAGTATACCGTTTTTGGAAGTGAAAAATACTGTATAATTTACATTTCAAATTTTTTATGTTAGTTTTTTCTTATCAGTTTTGTATATTAGGGTTGTGTGTTACACCTAATGTTGTTAAATGAATATTTATTGCATTATTTCAGTTTCATGTGTGTTACCGTGATGGTGTTTAGTGTTTGTGTGAATGACGCTGTGCACCTTCTATATATGTTATTATTTAAAAGCTGCTTGTGATGGGCTTTGGTTCATCGTGTGGCTTTCTCATCACCTCCTGCATTTGGTGGTTATCAGTTTATTACAAAGCTACAAAACAGATTTCAGTACTTCAATAGGTTGGTATATTAACATTATATCAGTTAATGAAACTACGGCATTTAACTGTAAACTTAAGTTAAAACCGTAAAACCTAAAATGTTGCTACCGTATTTTTTACGGTAAAATTCTGGCAACCACAGCTGACGTTTTTTACTGTAAATTCTACAGAATTTTTTACAGTGTATCTTTCCAGCTTAAGTGTATAATTTTGGATGTAGGTTCGGCTTCTGTTTCACTCTTTACATATGGCCACTAATGAGTGACTTTTCAAGTTAAAATAATATAAAAATATATATATTTCAGACCGAACATGGCAAAAAAACAACAACTGTACAAAGCAGTGTTTTATTAGTATTATTAAAATGATAATTTTTATATTTTAGATTTCCATTTTTAGTACACTCAAAAATGTTTTGAAACTTTATGCATTTCAGTTACATACAAATTTTCCATCCATTTAGATACATAGTTTTAACATAAACAAATCAATAAACATAATGCGATTCATGTGCGTCAGTCATACGTGAATGAAACAGGTAAGTTTTATGTAATAGTAGTGTCCACACTGCTCAGTGTTCATGTGCACATAAAGTTTCAATTTAGACCGACAATTTTTTTGAGTGTATTTAGTATTTACATTTTACAAATTTTTAGCACTTTTGTTTTTTAGTTTAGTTTTAGGTTTTACTTCAACTGACTTTTTAAAAATAGTTTTAGCTAGGGTTGGGAATCGAAAATCGATTGCGATTCCAGAATCGGATACTTAAGGTCAGGAATCAGATACTTGTTGTCAAATGAAAATTTCGATTCCGCCTATCAATTCCTATGCGCTTTTTTTTTCTTCATCTGTGAGGACTGGACCTAGCGATCTGCCTGGACCTTGTTTGCTAATCTAAGCGCTCCAAAGTTTGGCTACATTTGCGATCAGAAGCCAAAAAAGCTAAGTATAATATCTGTAGTGTCTAAACATGTTGCAAGAGAGGTGTCACCACCAACATGAAAGCACTTTAATTTAATAGATCGTTAAAGATCGCGAACATGATTCAAACACCAACGTGATTCTATTCCTAAATTACAATGATTCGTCTTTCATTCCACAACCTTTGACGTGTGCGATCAATGTTGTGATCACTTGGTTTATCCGTGCAGAGTACGATCAAACCAGTGTGATTTGAACATTTAAATCTGCGTTTACAGTCTTTTACCGTTAAATTCACGGTCATTTTTTACAGTGTGTGTGTATGATGGGTATGGTAGCGATTAAAATGGAGTAAATCACCTTTTGAAAGTAATTTTACGCTTCAAATGAAGATTCATCGATTACACTGTTACACCAGTAGGTGGCGAAAAGGGGCTGTTAAAATGCATTTGTCTTTGAATCATACAAGAGGTTCGTTCAAGAACGCTGATTCATCCAGTAATGACACAAATACATCTTGAGTGAGTCATTGAATCATTCATTCATAAATTACGTGTGATTTTGTTTAGTTGTCTAATGTTTTTTCTTCAGAATCATGAGAGAACCACAACTTCCATTGGGGAAAAAAATAAAATAGAAAAACCTCAATTTATCCAGAATCATGCAGTTGTATTTTGCACACAAACAGCTCTTAAAGAGTCCAGTTTTTATGTAGCCTGTTGATTTTTGTTCATGGTATTCAGCTAAAATAAATGGTTTGGAAAAAAAGAGACACAGGATAAATGTTTGATATCATTATTTAATCACATTGGAATCGAAACTGGGAATCGGAATCCATAAGCAGAATCAGAATCGGAAATTGATCAAATTCAAATGATACCAAAACCTAGTTTTAGCTTTAGGTAACTATAATAACCCAGGTACAGAGTGCAGTCTCTTTCTGCAACTATGCAGGTCTCCTATTATATTGTGAAGTAATAAAGTAAATAAAAATAACTATTGCCCCTCTTATAATTGCAGTGAAGAAGCGGGCACGTGCTCTGATTTGGGGAAGACACAGCCCCTGGGTGTCGTCACTGATAGGAATCGGAGTCTGCCATATGATAGATATCAGGATCGAGCGAGGTCCCGCAGCAGAAGCATATCATCCCAAAGCAGATACTCAGGGCGCTATTCAAGAAGCCGATCCCTGTCCTCAGGGAGAAGGTGGGTCACACAGCTGCCATTCATTATAGAAGACACAACTCTGATTTGAAGCTTTCGATTTAGTTGCAAACTGGTATTTTTGTATCTGACAGCATCATCTCCCTCGGCTCATTTATAGATCATATTCCCGTTCATCCAGTTATTCACTGCATTCTCGGAGAGACAGTCTGTCTAGTGCGAGCAGTCCCCTCAGTTTAAATCACTCACAGAGCACACTAGACAGGTGAATTTCAGCTAAAAGAAGAAGTGTTTTATCTAAAATAATGGTTTGACGATGACGGCGACATTAATTAACACATACGTGCTCACATCTCTTTCATGTGTGGATGAAAAGGTTTCGAAAGCGGAAAAGAGACTGCAGTTCCTGCAAGAGTAGAAAGCACAGCAGGAGAAGACCTTGCTCTCCAATGAGGAAGAGAAGAAGAGATTCCCCCAGTCACCTGGAAGCCCGTAGAATTACAAGGTCTGTTCTCACAGAACTACTAGTGTTGCAATACAAGCTAACAAATGGACACTGCTCCGTCGATCTTTCTTTGGAGATCTGGGTTTACTGATTGTGTGGGCAAATCTGTGGAAAACTGCAGAATGGATTTAAACACTGTAAAATGTTTAAACTGAGCTAAGAATATATTAATATAATTCTAATTGGAAGCTGAAGGCATTATCAAATTAGAAAATATATTTAACAAATTAAAATGCAAGTGGCAGGAATGTCAGCATTCCAGTTCTTTCTTGCATCCTCAAGAGAAACAAATTAATTCTTCAAATTAATGTTTATATATATATATATATTATATATATATATATATATCAGCATCATTACTCCAGTCTTCAGTGTCATATGCTCCTTCAGAAATCATTCTAATATGCTGATTTGCTGCTCAAGAAACATTTCTCTTTTTTGTGATAAACATTTTTTATTTGCCAAAAAAACACTAACATGCATGGGAAAGGCATAAAAAATATGACAAAGTATAAAGATATACAACTATACAACAAAGCCATGACAAAAGAGGACAAATGTAATTACAATAGTAAAACCGAGTGATAAAGTGATATTTCTTAATATTATTTAAAAAAATTGTGCTGTTTCAAATTTTTGTGGAAACCTTGATTATTTTTTTCTATAGGATTTTTTTTTGTTTTCATAAAATGAAAGTTCAAAAGATCATAATTTATTTGAAATAGAAATATTTTTTTATCTTTCATAAAAAATAAATTTTCTGTCACTTTTGATCAATTATATGCATCTTTTTTGAACATATGTATTAATTTCTTCAAAAAAATCTTTCCTAAAGGAGAATAATATTAGGTATTTAGAAAAATCTGTTGAAGGCAGGATTTTATATCCCTTAATCTATGTAACTTCTGTATTATTATATTATTAATTGTGTGCGCTCAAAAAAAAAATTAATTGTCAGGTGCGTAAAAACTAAAAGAAGTTTAGTCAACCAAGTAGCTAAAGTTGAGAAGCACACTGAGAACATATAATCAGACCAAATAAGGTATATAAAAATATATATTTTATTTTCCATATGCAGAAGTGAAAAAGTGACAAAAGTGCAAAGCGTCTTAAAAACAGACCAAAGAGCAGACATTTCAGCCCATGCTTTCCTTTTTTTTGTCACTTGACTTTTTCACGTTTGCATATGGAAAATAAAATATATTTTTGATGGACCTTTTTTGGTCGGATTATATGTTCTCAGTGTGTGGACAACTTCAGCTACTTTGTGACATTTTCCCCATTCAGAATGATGTATTAACATGTCATTGTTTGTATACTCTTTCCTGCACAGTGCCAGAAAGAGACCGGTCCCCTACTACCGTCCCAGTCCCTCCGTCAGCAGCCGATCCTCCAGCCTCTTGTCCTGGCGTCTGTTTACTCTCAGTCGCAGCCGTTCACGGAGTCGCAGTCGCAGCCGTAGCCGCAGTCGCAGTCACACTTACTCGTCATACAGGAGCTATAGTCGCAGCTCGTCGTGGAACTCTATGTACAGCAGACGCAGTCGCAGTCGGAGCAGAAGCTATGACTCAGTAGTGAGCTACAGCAGAGCCCGTCGCTAATTTACAGAAGAACCAGATCCCAGAATGCTGAGCTACAGCACAATCCCAGGACCACATCTCACTGTAACTAGAAGTGAAATGGAGCGGCGCTGAGAACATGCTGTGCTTAGATGTGGAACACCAGGCAGTGACAGGATCATCTGTTCAGTGTCAGATAAGACTGAAGCTTTCCATATTGTTGTGTACTAAACTGTGTGCTTTCATCCATCCCGTTCAAAGGAAAACTTGTCAATCAATCACAAAGCCTGCTGTTGTAGGAAAGACCGGACCGGGAAATTCAATCTGTGAGTTCTGCTATTCCTTGTTTTGCTCATAGGTGTAAGGATATTGTTAGTCGTTTATCAAAACCGACGTGGTAGATAAAAGGAAGTGCAGGGTCACTCACCAGACGCTCATAGCGTGACCGTAAAAACACATGTATGAATCTATCGTATTTTTCTAGTGTTTCTCTTTTTTATAGGAGATGTCAGAAGCGCTTGAGGAGAAAGATTTATTGCTTCCATAACAGCTGCTTCTGTGTTGCCCACACCTTTGAAAAATGTGCCATCCGAATCGGCCCCAGTGGCGAACGCACACCCCATCAGCCCAAATGCCAGCTTTATTTATCTTCTGTTGAACTGGAAAACAATTCAAATGTCACTGGCTGTGATGGAGATGGTCATGATGGTGGTGGTGGACAATCAAAACGCAGCGGATGTGCTCCACTGGTGGGAACCGTTTTGCGGGTCCAGGCGTTACCAAATACATTAACGTACATATTAATCTTGCAGACCTCAAGAGATAGAAAGATATTTTTATCTGTAGGATTCGAGGCTGCATCTGAGTGAACAAAGAAAAGGTATATTTTCCCTGTCCTGTTGTTTCTGAGATTCAAAGCTCTGCTGTAATTGTGACCCTGCCTGTGAAAACACAACTAAAGTCTGAGATCCGCTAGTGAGCGACGCCTCGTGGTACCGTCACAGAGAGGCTCAAAATCACTTTCCAGAACATTCTCGTTCACTGTTCCCGGCTGGTGGAACGATCTTCCCACCCCTATCCGGAATGCTGAATCCCTGACAATTTTCAAGCGACAGCTGAAAACTCATCTCTTTAAACGCTACTTGACTTCATCTTAAAAAATATATATATATATATTTCTCTTTATTTATTCCTTCCCTTTCTAGCTTGTACTTATTTGAACAATGCCTAAAACTTGGTATTTCAAGCACTTTCTGTGCCTCTTTAAAAATAATCGCTTTATGTATTCCCCAACTGTAAGTCGCTTTGGATAAAAGCGTCTGCAAAATGACTAAATGTAAATGTAAAGTGTTTTTTTTGTGTGTGATTTGCTGTTTTCTACATAAAATCATCCTTCATAAAGATGTAGAACGTTCTGTGAAAATATAACCTTTATATCTTTAATATTGACTGAGTATAAGGCCATGTCAAAGATTGAAATCATAGTGAAATTAATGGTTGAAATCAAACTTTTCTCATAATTAGATTTTGAGACTTTAGCCTGGATTTCACAGAGAGGGTCACAAATAATTATTATGATTATTGTTCTGTAATTTTTGAAATGCACAACCCTTGAGGCGTGTTAAATTGTATATTATTTTTAAATTATTTATTCTTTTATTGCTCGTTTTTTTTGTATTTTTTTTTTTTATATCTGCGATCATTTCTGAGTGCGGTTTGAATATTTATTATTTAGATCTCTTGAATTATTTATAAAGTAAGACCTTTTGATATTCACATAGAAAAACTTTTTTGCTTGTATCATTTATTTCTGACTTGTTTCTGTTTGTTTTCCTCCAAACCCCACAGTTTAAACATCCAGTCCAGCACTTATTAAATCACACACGATGATGTTTATAAATATGAATGTTTTATAAAGCATATTTATTGGTTGCACATCAGTGCAACAGCAGAGAAACTATTACAGACCGGGAGAAATTAAGATGGCTGTCATAAGAAATCAGTCAGAGTGACTAGACCAAGGACTTTTTTCAAAGGATCAAAGATGTATATTTGGTGTGCCATACCTCTTGATGAAACGACGTGTAAAAATCATCACCTTCATCATGACAGATGATGGCAGCTTCTTTGTTTCTGTGTCATAAAGTCTATTGGAGTGCTTGTTAAATGAAGGCATGGTGATCTCTATGCACTGTACATTATTAGCTGTCTGACTGTTGTGAATTCTGACACTTGTACAGATAATAAGTTGTAGACGAAAGAGGAAAAACGTGAAAGTGTATCACAAATGTTTTATCATCTTGTTCTCAAACCGTAAATGAGTTTAGTAATGATTATGTAAATCCGTTGTGTAAATATGCCAACGTTTAGTGCGGCAATATTAGGCATGGGCTTTATTTATTGAGATGGAGTAGTGGTACTGACTGTTTACAAGGCTGGCTTTCTAATTGACATAATTTGCATTCCCTCAAAAAAACAGAAATGTTGCCATGAATCCAACCTATTTCACCGAATCTGGCTTCTGTAGTTGCAAAAATGAACCCAAACACCTGTAATATGAGTAATTCATTTATTTTTGCACAGAATGAGCTGTGAAGATGTAAAACAAGCAAGTCTGTGTTTTAGCGCAAAGTTAAAATTCCCAATGCAGGACGAAGATTATGTCAGGAACATTCCCCAATGTCCCCTATTCTACAATGTATATACACTGTTGTCGATGTGCACAAGAATATCAATGTCTCCCTTGCTAAAGTAAATTAATGACTAGTTCTCTGTGGTCTGAATATGTAATGATATTCAAAGAGTTCTAAATAAATTATTCATCTAATTAATTCACCCAGTACTTTGCTTCTTTAAAATTGCACTCTCTTTATTCACACTGAAGTTATTTCTTTGTATTCATGATTTGTTTAGTGAAAAAAGGGAGAGTGTGGTAAGTTGAATCACCCAGAGTGGATCAAATAATTGTGTTTCTAAAGAAATTCAAGAGCAGATGAGAATCAAAACAGTTGACATGTATCAGTCTGGAAAGGGTTATAAAGCCATTTCTAAGGCTTTGGGACTCCAGCGAAGCACAGTGAGAGCCATTATTCACAAATTGAGAAAACTTGGAACAATGGTGAACCTTCCCAGGAGTTCCCGGCCAACCAAAATTACTCCAAGAGCACAATGACGACTCATTCAGAGTTCATAGAAGAACCCAGAACAACATCTAAAGAACTGCAGGCCTCACTTGCCTCAATTAAGCTCAGTGTTCATGATTCAACAATAAGAAAGAGACTGGGCAAAAACGGCATCCGTGGGAGAGTTCCAAGGCAAAAGCCACTGCTGACCAAAAAGAACACAAAGACTCATCTCACATTTGCCAAAAAATATCTTGATTATCCCCAAGACTTTTGGGCAAATATTCTGTGGACTGATGAGACAAAAGTTGAACTTTTTGGAAGGTGTGTGTCCCGTTACATCTGGCGTAAAACCAACACAGCATTTCATTAAAGAACATCATCCCAACAGCCAAAGAAGGTGGAGGTAGTGTGATGATCTGGGGCTGGGTGACTTGCCATAATTGACGGAAGCATTAATTCTGCTCTCTATCAGAAAATCCTGAAGGAGAATGTCCGGCCATCAGTTTGTGACCTCAAGCTCAAGTGCACTTGGGTTATGTAGCAGGACAATGATCCCAAACACACCAGCAAGTCCACCTCTGAATGGCTCAAGAAAAACTAAATTAAGATTTTGGAGTGGCCAAATTAAAGTCCGGACTTAAATCCGATTGAGATGCTTAAACAGTCCACTCATGCTCGAAAACCCTCCAATGTGGCTGAATTAAAACAATTCTGCAAAGAAGAGTGGGCCAAAATTCCTCCACAGCGATGTGAAAGACTCATTGCCAGTTATCGTAAACACTTGATTGCAGTTGTTGCTGCAAAGCGTGACACAACCAGTTATGAGATATTGGGGGCAATTACTTTTTCACGTAGGGCCAGGCAGGTTTGGACAGCTTTTTTCCCTTAATAAAATAAATAATCATTTAAAAACTGCATTTTGTATTTACTTGCATTATCTTTGTGTAATATTAAAATTAGTTTGATGATCTGAATCTTTTAAGTGTGACAAATATGCAAAAAATTAAAAAAACAGGAAGGGGGCCAACACTTTTTCACACCACTGTATATTAGTTTTTCTTTCTGTCAGAAAAGTGCTATATTTAGGTAATATAGGTAATATTTAGCTAAATATAGGTTTGATATTTTGTTGTCTCATGAAATTACATTTAAAGTGAGGCTTTTTGTGCCACTGCATACTTTCCAGCGGATAGAAGACTTCCTGAAATAGAACTTGTTGCATGTTTTTCTTGCTCATCTTTCAGCTTTACTCTTCATGACGAATGCAAGACTCGTCTGAAGAAGGAGAAGCAGATACCGCATGCCTCTGTTGCATTTCGTGTTAGTGTATGAGTGTGTGACTCCTCTCCGGCCTTGAGGAGTGAGTAGTTTTCTATTATGAAGTTAATGAGTCATCTGGGGGAGGGGGAGGGTGAGATTGGACCAGTCGCTGCCCGGTGGAGCCAGTCACAGCCTGGGGTCTAAACTTGGATAGGGAGGGTCTTCAGTCAGCTGTCGTGTACCACCGAGCACTTTCTGGACTTTGTCGACCGGTAAATCACATATAAACCAGTGGAAAGAGCTTACATCGTCAGTAAACTTCTAGAACTCCTACACGAGCGCAGTATTACGCGTAAACTTGGGTGCGTAATTACGCGCCTAGAGGCTTTTTTTCAAACTGCGCTCTTTTTGATAATTGATTAATTTCGGACTTCTGACAGGAACGCGAAGAAAAGTTCTCTAAAGTCACTTTTTTCCTAGTTTCACCATGGCAGAAGGGGATTACTACACTATGGGCAACCGACAGAGGATTCCAAGGGATCCGTTTGGTGAACAGTCGCTCGCTTCTCGATTTATGGACGATGACTTTGGACTGCCACCTTTTCACGACGAGTTATCGATGGACTGGCCCGGCTGGGCACGACCTCGACTGAGCACGCGCCTTGACGCGCCGTGGACGGGCCCGTTGAGCACGGGCTTCCCGCGGGGCTTCAGCGCCAGATACAGCGAGGGTCCGCGCCGATCCAGCGCTCCCCTGACCAACCCAGACGAGTCGTGGAAAGTGTGCGTGAATGTGCACAGCTTCAGACCTGAGGAGCTTAATGTCAAAACTAAAGACGGTTTTGTAGAGGTGTCAGGTGAGAAAACACATCTGAACTTTGAGAAGGATGAGTAATTGATAGCATATGTGACCTGGAGCACAAAACCAGTCATAAGTAGCACGGGTTTATGTGTAGCAATAGCTAACAATACATTGTATGGGTCAAAATTATTGATTTTTCTTTTATGCCAAAAATAATTAGGGTATATTAAGTAAAGATCATGTTCCATGAAGATATTTTACCGTAAATATATCAAAACTTAATTTTTTTTTAGTAAAACGTATGGCTAAGAACTTCAGTTGGACAACTTTAAAGGCGATTTTTTTTCAATATTTTTATTTTTTATTTTTTGTGCACTCTCAGATTCCAGATTTTTCAAATAGATGTATCTCGGCCAAATATTGTCCTCCTATCCTAACAAACCACACATCAATGGAAAGCCATTTAATGGAAATAGAAAGGATAAGATGTCTCAGTTTGACCCTTGTGACTGGTTTTGTGGTCCAGGGTCACATATTTTATAGCCTATAATAATAAATCATGCAATGTTATATAAAATACAGCCAAAAAACTGATTGCTTTATTTACGTTTATTACCATGCTTATTATTTATATACCTTTTTCACAAAACAAAACATAATACATTTTGCCCTCAGGTATTTGTTTATTTTTATTTGCATAAAGCATGACATAACTCCTTTAGTATGTTTATTTTTATTTTTCTACGTTGTCTTTGTTTTTTGTTTATTTATTTATTTGCAAAGTAT